GCTGAAGTACGGTTTTAGTAATGTTTGATAAATGAGACCCCTATCTTTAGGGTCTTACATGGACAAGCACCATCTTACATTGGTGATCTTCTCAGTCCCTACATCCCCAGCAGATCCCCGAGGTCCAGTGACCAAAGCCTACTGGTTGTGCAGCACCAGGCTAAAGACCAAAGGTGACAGATCATTTGCTGCTGTGGCCCCCAGACTCTGTAACTTCCTCCCACCTGGGCCTGAGATCAGTGGACTCAGTGGACTCCTTTAAAAGCACCTGAAGACTCACCTGTTCAAGCTGGCTTTGGTGTGACCTTCTGATTCTTCATCACTGCCTTCTCCTCATTCAGCTCTTTCGACCAATTCTGCCTTTCCTGGCATCCACTGATTACCTCTATCTTATTCATTTTCTCTTTCCCTTTTCTCTCATATTTTTTTAATCACAATTTTTTAACTTTCCTATATTACAATATATAAAAAAATGTATTCTTTTTATTTAATAAGTTTTGGTTTTCGTTCTTGTGAAACACTTCGTGATTTTTATTATGAGAGGCGCTATATAAAAGATTGTTTTCTTCTTCTTCCTCACTGGCAGAAGTGAGGCTTCTGAGGGAGGTGATCAAATGTCTTCTCTAAATCCACAAAACACATGGTTGGGTGACCTTCTTCATATTCAGTTAACTAATGTTTTGTTAGACAGTTCTGGCTGGAAAATAGCTGAAATTCTTTTTCTGTTAAGACTTCAGTCTGCTGTTTTTGACTCAGATATTACTTAGTAGATTTCAGAGCCTCAGAAAGTCTCCAGATCATCTCAAAAGCCCTCAACAGGACAGAAATCTGGAAGGAATTCCAGGTGTGAAAACATGTCCCAAATCCTCAAAAAGCTTTGAGCCAAATAAATCCTGGCATATTAGGCTATGTAGTTACTTTCAGTGTAAAAACAAAAATTAATTATCTAATCAAATTTTTGAATGACAAAAAATGAATTGAAGCCATGAAGGGGATATGTGTTGATTTGACAATCGTTGCTGTTTTAAGTATTTAGTGTTGGTTTGAAGTCTCAGCTGCAAAGAGCAGTCATTACAGCAAATGTTCCATCTGTTGAGATGTTTGGATCATTTTTATTCCTGAATGAAGAATTTATAAGTATGGTCTGAGCCATGGACGTTTTTTATGTAAAATCAAAGTGAAACCAAAGGGCAGAACGCAGCGGTCACCCTGGTGTGTTTGGCACAACTTTGCTCCTGAGTCGAGATGACAAAGTGCTTAACGCCATTAAAAATAGATGCAAATGGCTCAATATTTCAAGGAGATAGCCAGGAACAGTGGAGTACTGGGGATCAGGACATCAATGGGACCATGGACGTAGTTTTGACTTTAGAAATGGGGGGACCCAACCAGCATGTGGACCGGGGGGGATGGGGGGTGTCTTTACAGTAAACACCCCCCAAAATGACCCCCATAAATGGGACTCAAACCACACTCTATGTGCATGGGACACAAATAGAATTTTGTATGGGTGAGCTATAAACATGAATGTGCATCCTCTCCTGTTATATAAGAGTGTTTATTGCACTCTAAGATGCCGCTGAAGGGATTAGGCTGATAGTGACAAAGAAGCAGATTATCTGTAAAAGTGCAGACATGCAGACTGTTAATGTACACATCTCACACCCACAGCTTTACCATTCATTCCAACAGAATAATGATGTGTTCTCTCACTCTGGAGTAAGATCTGGGCATTCTTCAGCTGATTTAAATAATACTGTGATTCGTTTTGTATTAACACCTTGTGTCATTTATATTTAGTGGACTGCAGTACAAAAGCTTACTCTGACTGTTGAGAATTATTTGTTTTACTTACAGTTTTTCTCCATTGGTTTGGCTCATTTCTTGAAACAGAAATTACATTCTCAAAATAACACGGACAAACCTCCAAACCTCTTGGCAAATGATCACAACAGAGTGGCATTTCTCAATCATTTTCTCAAATGGCAAATACCTTAGCACTTGTCTCAGTTGTCTCAGTGCATCTTTGCAAATGATTAAGTACATGTAGCCTACAGTTATACAGTTAGCTCACATTTAGCACATTTTCCAAATGAATAGATCTTGTAGAGCTGAACTGATTAGTTGATTCTCAGTCTAATGATCATTCTCTCCAAAACATGTCAGCATGATTTCAATGTATAAGTACTCGCATGCACAACTGTCTGTTCAGTTGTTAGAATTGGTCAAGAACATAATACCATGAATACCATATATGATTTCTTTGAATATTTGATACATTGATGACAGTCATTGATGGTCAGGTGAAACTTGAATAACGAACGGGGAGTGTCACACACAGGTGTTTTCCATGATCATGTGCTGACAAACACAGATATATAGAGCTTGACCAGCGCCAGTCCGATCTCTGAACATGGATACACAAGGCCGAGCAAACGGACAAGGGGAAGTTCTTCCTCAAGGAAGAGGAGGAAGAGGAGGAGGAAGAAGAAGAGGACAGAGAATGTGTGGTGGAGGAATAGGGGGAAGAGGCCGAGGAGGGGGAAGACAACAGAGTGTAAATAATCAGGAGGGTGAAGACAGTGGACAAGAGCAGGAGAATGAGAACAGCGACCACTGAATATGTCCTTGGTTTTTGATTTCGTGTTCATACAATTTACTGTATTACTGTAATGTACATTTTCTTTTTACTTATGTATGAAACTTTCTTTGCATGTGAACAAAAAATGGTTATAATTTTCTTGGTAGTGGGAGCGCAAGCTGCGATGTCAAACCTTGGAGGCTATTCTTTTGGTTGTATACTGTTGGTCCTCTGCCGTAGTGACAAAACATCTTAACATTTTGTATGGTAGTACTCACACATTGCCAAAGGGACGATGCATTTTGGGGGCACTGACTATTCAGATATAGAAGTAAATGTAGTTTTGACACATGAGTGAACTGTTTTAGGAGAGATATGAGCTTTTGCAGATAAACCATGTTGTGATCAACCATCCAGGTTTATTTTGACAAAAGCACCAAGAATGATGAGAATGTTCGATCTGCGTCAAGAAATGAGCCAAAGCTATTGAGAAGGATCTTTGCCATTGTTTAAATCAGAAAGGGATTTAGATTGAAGCCTGGGTGAACAGTTTTGGAAGAGGTATGAGCTTTGGCAGGTGAGCTATAGTGTTGTGCTAAACTGTAAGAGTGTTTCACCAAATGATCTAAGTGTCACGATACGGTGGTGTGGACCCAAAATGTAGTACCCAGGATGGCACGGAGGCCGGGATGAAGATTTTAAGTAAAAAGTCTTTATTTGTGGGTGAGCCAAAAACCAAGGTTAATCCAAACAGGAAGTCAAAATCCAAAAAGCCAAAAATCCAAAGGCCAAAAAGCAGTAATTATCTGGGGATCAAGAAACTCTGGTTTAAACACAGAGGGACGAAACTGACAGAATCAAACAAACATTAATGGACCGACACAAGACAGAGACAATACCGGGCTTAAATAGACTGGGAGACAAATTAAGGAAACAGGAAGCAGGTGTGTGGAGTGAGGGCTGGAGGGAAGGCAGGTGACACTAATCAACTCAATGGGGAAAACAGAAACAGAGGAGGGCAAATACCTAAACACAAAACTAAGCAACAATTACCTAAAGACAGAGGGAAGGACTCACACAAACTAGCTGGAGGAGGACATAGCACATACACCCACACACACTGAGCTGGGGACAACGAGGCTGGAGCTGACCTGGGAGGAAAGAGTAGAAAAGATAACATAAGACACTAAACTGACATGCAGAAAAAGGACACATGAGGGCGCCAAAGAGCTACAACATAAGACACATAACAGGGATGCAGACAAGGACACATGAGGGCGCTAAGAGAGCACAAGGGGGGAACCTGGAGTGGAGCACAAGAGGAGCTGGGGAACAAAGGGACACAAGAGGGAATCTAGAGAGGGATGGAGGACACCAGGAGGCACAAAAAAGGAAGGGGCTGACGCAGACCATGACACTAAGAGGTTTGAGAATGTAATTTCTGTTTCAAGAAATGAGCCAAACCATTGGAGAAAAACCTCCCAACACTTTCCCACTGTGAGAGAAAAATCCAGATTATTATCTGAAAATAACTCATAAAATAAACACTGCTGCACATTATCAGTGGGAATGTGGTAGGGGTGTGTATTGCAAAAATATATTGTATAATAGATAGATAGATAGATAGATAGATAGATAGATAGATAGATAGATAGATAGATAGATAGATAGAGATAGATAGATAGATAGATAGATAGATAGATAGATAGATAGATAGATAGATAGATAGATAGATAGATAGATAGATAGATAGATAGATAGATAGATAGATAGATAGATAGACGGACAGATGGATGGATGGATGGGTGGATGGGTGGATGGATGATGGATGGAGGGTTGCATGCAGACATTTATTTCTTCATCGTTTCCATGTTTGCTTGAACAGGAACAAACCTCAGAGTTCGTCTCATTTTCAAATTCAATCCTCTGACATTTTCTTGGTTTAAAATCAAAGTTATTTTTTTATTTAGTGTTTTTGTGTCACTTTAGTGAAGCTGTAGCTGTAAATAATGCAGTCCACCTCATCTCCATGTGGATACCTCACACTGGATAGATGGATGTTTTCTCAGAGCTCACAGACACTTTATCTGTCCTTCACTTTGAGTCTTGTGCGGCGCTCCTTCCTTCCCCTCTCATATCAGTGCTCAGTATTTTTGTTCCTTCTCTCACTCTCTGACTCTACCTATTTTCCCTTTCTCTGTCCGGTTCTGTCTCCTATTTTTGGTTTGAGACGCATCAATTATGCACAACCTTTGCACGGACTTTCTGGCTGGAGAGCTATTAACAAGAGCCTTATGGGTGATCAAATTACACCTGAACATCCACTTCTGGCACTCACTGTCCCACCCACCCACACTCACTCTCTCTCTCTCTCTCTCTCTCTCTCTCTCTCTCTCTCTCTCTCTCTCTCTCTGTTCAGATTTCAAGGAGAGCAGCGAAGGTTTGCAAGAACCAACATCCCAGATGCAGTGGAAAACACCAGCTGTCACTAAACAGAGGTGTGGAGTTTATTAGGAATCAGGTTTGCTTTGAGGGTTTTTAAGCATTCTGATTCTTATTTGTCAAACACGGTTTTGTTTGCCTCTGGAACCAAAAAATCCTGCACAGCAAGGCCTTGGCACACCTTCATGCTCACAGCTGGTCTCCGCCAAAAAGACCTCAGACGGAGAAAAACACAAAAATAGTAACAAAACAAAACATTCAGCCTGCATCAAGATGTGCAACCATCTTTCACAAAATGTTAGATTCTAGCTATTACATTTAAAATAAAATTCATCTTGTTCATTTTAGTATTAGTGACTCCTAACCCTAACCCTAATGGTAACCTAGTCAATGAACTACTAGAAAATCTGTGCAATGTTAAAAAAAATAACATATAATGTTAGAAGGTTTAAAATACAAAAACTAGTTTAAACTAGTTTCATAAACAGCATCACATTAAGGCCATGAAATGGTACACAGGGTCTTGATCTCTTGATTCATTTTGATTGCAAAGTGGTTGTTTTGGGATTATTTTTGGAGGAACTGGGTTCATAGTCCCTAATGGGGCTTAGCATTTATTCCAACTGTTATTTTTCCTAGAGTTTGGCTCCAGATTGTCACCAAAATAAAATAACTGGTGTGAAGACACTCTTCAGTCACACATTATTTCTTGTTGTTACACTCACTGATGAGTCACGTAAAGAAAGGATCCAGATGTGCACAACAGTGCCGATTATTTTGAGACAGTCTTGGTAACTGAGCACCCTCATAAACATTTTGGGAGACTTTGGAAATGCCATTTGTGATTTGTCACCCACAGTCAAAGAGAAACTAGCTTCAAATAAAAAATCAATCACCACTAAGTTTTCCAGCTCACATGTCAGTAGTTTTCATAAGCCAACAGATTCATTCAACTCCTGAAACTCTGCTGTTGCCTTTAGTTTTGGTGCCACCCCAACATTATCAGTGGCCCCCATCTGGAAGCCCCTTTGGAAATTTTCTGGAACAGCCCCTGTGCCAACAGTTTGATAAATGTAAATATGTATTTAAATAATTTTCAATTGATGATCTAGACATTTCAATATTCCTGACACTCAGCCCTCAGGAGAAACGGGTTGAGAGGTCGGAGAAGGAAAGAACACTGGGAATATCAGGACTTACAGCTCAGCACGTAAGTTACGCAAGAGCTCAGTCAGCTCAGCTGGAGATCAGTGAGGGAGAGTAAGCAGCAGAGCGAGTGAGTGAGCTGAGTGACGAAGAGGAGGAGGAGAAAATAACAGCAAGTGAGCAGAGAGCAGACAGATTACAGCTGGATCTACCTCAAACACACAGACATGAACCCACACAGAACCACCATCTCATTCCCCTTTTCCCCTCATCTCACCTCCAGCAGGACTGGATCATGAAGGGAGACACAGACGTGGTCCTCATCCGTCCACAAACGGCGTGAGCCATGAAAACGGGAAACAACAAAACAGGAATCTAAACAGAAGAAACTTTTCCTGCTGGTTTCTATCAAGCTTTGAGCTCCTTTCTTCATGTTCTTGTAGACTTCTTCCCAGGCACCATGACTCTGAATAAGACACCAAGCAGAGCCGGGACCCACCTCTGGATGCTGCTGTGCACCTTGCTCTGTACTCTGGTTCTGGTGAGAGGATCCACTTTGAGCCTAGAGGACTCACAGCTCAGTGGCACGTCAGTGCCAGAGGACTGGGCCAGCACGACAGTCCCACTGCAACCAGATCTGCAGACCGAAGCCCAGACGGAGGCTCTGACGGAGCTCCAGACTCAGATCATCACCAACAACTACACAGGTAGGTCCATTCAGAGGTTAGCCACTGACCTCCTGTGATTCTCAAACTTTCCACTACTTAGAGTTTCAGTTGTTGAGTTTAAACTTTGATTTCAGATTCAAGTAAGTCTTGAATGATAAAAACAAGGAAAAAAACATTTTAATTAATTTCCCTGTAGAAATTACTCTTAACTCATAATATCTGTAAGTAAGTAACTCAGTTCAAAAACTACTACTCAATAAAAACAAAATAATACCGGGGCTGCACAGTGGTGCAGTGATTAACACTGTTGAATTGCAGCAAGAAGGTACCAGGTTTGAATCCCAGACTGGGGCCTTTCTGCATGGAGTTTGCATGTTCTCCCGTAATCATGTGGGTTCTCCGGCTTCCGTCCAAATCCACAATATGACTATCAGGTTGATTGGACTCTAAATTTTACTTAGGTGTGTGTGTGTGTGTGTGTGTGTGTGTGTGTGTGTGTGTGTGTGTGTGTGTGTGTGTGTGTGTGTGTGTGTGTGTGTGTACAGTTGTTTGTCCTGTGTCTCTGTGTTGTCCTGTGACGGACTGGCAAGCAGGGTGTACTAAGGGGGAAGAGAAAATGGATGCCTGGATGGACAAAAAAAAGATGAGAACACATTTATTTGGATTCATTTGACCATTTAATTCACTTCCGAAAGATACTTTTTCTGGAGTTTCACAAGTTAAAACAGCACAAAGTTTGGAGTTCTTGAACCAACCTGAAGCCAACAATGGAATATTCATATAGCGTCAAATCCCGATAAGAGAGGTCTCTTATAGCACTTCACAAAGTAAACATTCAAATTGGGTTCAGTTCATTACGCCAATTAGTTAAAGGTTTCCTAGGAACCCAGTGGATTCCATCGAGTCACTGACTTGATGTTTTAGAGACTTTACAGCAAAACCCACAAAGCAAGCAGCAGTGACCTGAAACAAAGAAAAATGTGAAACAAGCTCTGAGATCCTCTCAAACTCTTCTGAAAGCTTCTTCTCGACTGAAGAGATTCACTCATTTGCTTTTGTGAAAATCCAATTAATAAATTTACCAACTAAAGCCCTAGGACACGCTGGAGGAACTATGTCTCTCGGCTGGCCAGGGAACGCGTTGGGATTCCTCTGGAGGAGCTGGCCCAAGTGGCTGAGGAGAGGGAAGTCTGGGCCTCTCTGCTCAGGCTGCTGCCCCTACGACCCGACCCCGGATAAGCGAATGAAAATGGATGGATGGACCTAAAAAGGAACTTTGTTCGCCAGCAGAAAAAGTTCAGATTCTTGTTGAATTTCACACTTTTCCACCGCTTCATGGTTTTGTGCTTGGTCAGAGGTTAAAGAGTCACGACGTTCTTGAGGAGGAGTTTCTGTTGAAAAGTTAATTGCGTCATGATAATGGGAAAATGTATTGTGATTATTATTATTATTGGTGTTTTAATATTGCTTTGGAAATAAACAAAAAGCTTTCTTACAATTTACAATTATCACACAGTGAAACAGCAGTATTACATGAATAATAATAATAATAATAATTTCTTCAGTAGAAACATTTTCCTTACATATTAAATTCCTAAAACCAACCAAACTACCAAATTTACAAGAGCACATCATGATGTACTCAGCACTATGAGAGGGTTTTGTGTTTTTCAAGCAGAGAGGAGACTCTGAGACTGCTTTTGTCTGAGGCCTAGTCCACATGTAGCCGGGTTTTTTTAAAAACGAATATCCGCCCCTCCAAAAACTTGCATCCACACCACCTCGTTTTAAAAAAAGAACTCTGTCCACACATACCTGGATAAATACGTTGTTAAGGACATGCCAGACTTGTAGGCGGCAGTACTTCCCCGTTCTTAACCTCGTCCTTCGTCTGTGGTCTTCCACAAGGAGCAGTAATTCCTCTTGCAAAAACAAACAAGCAAAAAGCGCTTGGACAATTGATAAAGCGAGTGCAGCTCTGAGGGCATCCATGCTGTCGGCTAGTGTAAACACAGGTCGCACACGTGATGTCAGCATTTTTTTGTCACTGAAAGTGACGTTGCGGACCTTAAAACTCCGGTTTTGTCTGTCCACACGCAGTCACCCAAAACAGAGAAAACGCAGATCTTCACTTTGGCCGGAATTTTTAAAAAGATCCGTTTTCATGTGGATGACAGGCCAAAACGTAGAAAAATATCTACATTTTGGCAGATCCCCGGCTACGTGTGGACAGGGCCTGAGGCAATCATTGGTGATCTTCTCAGTCCCTACACCACCAGCAGGTCCCTGAGGTCCAGTGACTAAAGCCTACTGGTTGTGGAGCACCAGGCTAAAGACCAAAGGTGACAGATCATTTGCTGCTGTTGTTCCAGACTCTGGACCTCTTTACCCCTGAGCCTGAGATCAGTGGACTCAGTGGTCTCCTTTAAAAAGCAGCTGAAACTCACCTGTTCAAGCTTTGGTGTGACCTTCATCACCCTCTCCTTATTCTGTTCTTTCTACCTATTCCACCTTTCCCGGGATCCACTGATTTCCTTCTTTCCTGTTTATTTTCTCTCTCTCCCTTTCCTTACATTTTAATCACATTTTTAAAATTGTTCTCATTTTAAACATATTTTTAAAAATTTGGGACTTTGTGAAGCGCTTCATGATTTTAATCTTGTAAGGCACCATATGAAAGATCACTTTCGTTCTATTATAAAGAGTTTAAGAGGCTGCATCTTAGCTCTGCTCATTGTGAATATTTAAGGAGAGTAATGAGCAATAATGTAAATCTGAAGTAATCTGAATGGAAACGATTCATTTCAAGAAAGACTAAGACTAAAAAGAAAAGCCAGCTAAAGAGTTTTTCAATTTTGTCTTAGCTGCAGCCAGATCCAGAAAACACCTTCAGTTCATCGCAGTGTTGTTTTCTTGTGTTGCACTGATGGAGAGACTGTCTTAAAAAAGCTTTACCATAAAATTTGAATTATATTAAAAATGCAGTCAAACCACAGGTGTGATCTCTCAGGGGCTTTAAAACCAACACGTGCTTTATCTCTGTCATCTCCTTTGTGTCGGGAAATTTAAATCTTGTCGTTTTCAAAAGCATGGTCACCCTTTGTAGTTTTAATGCTAGGTTCAGTTTATAAGGTAATACTATCCATAAGCCATGTTAACATACTATTTAATTCGGTGTGTAGACAGCTCTTTGAACAGCCTCAGTTTGGAGAATTGTTGACTGGACTGACACTAACTGCTAGTCAGAGTAGGCCCAGTTCCAGAGGGGATGTCTGTTATTCAACAGAACTCCAACTTCAAACATTTCAAAGATGCTACTATTCTACATCATCGTTTTTTGAAGTTATTTGAATAAAAGCTCGTGGTGATTTTCTAAAGCAAATAGAATCTGGCTGTAGAACAGTTGGCAGGAAAGTCACAAAATGTTTGCCAGGGCAACTTCATCAATTTCCCTCTGGGATTAATAAAGTATTTTTGAATTTGAATTGAATTGAACTGTGGAATGCAAAAAGTTGAGATTAAATGTTAATTGTTCGTAACTTTTTCACAGAACTGTCTCTTTAAGGTTACTGTAAACATGTTAGGTGGGAAGGAAAGGTTGGGCCTGCGTGCTTCTCCTGTGCTTTTGAGAGTGTTGCTGTTCTTCAGGTGCTGCACTTAAAAACAATTCATCATATCCAGACTGGAGCTGTTCAGGCTGAAGAAAAAAGCTGCAGCATCGCTCGCATGACTTCACCTCCACTGGAGCATGCGTTGCCCCTCTCTTTCCCTTCCCTTTCTTTCTATTTTTATCACTCAGTTGATAGATCACTCTCACACTTTCACTTTACACTACGTTTTATCTCTTCCTCATCTTTCTTTCTGTATTTTTCTCTTTTTCCATCACTGTGTTCATCCCTTCTTAGTGGCCACGTCATCACGTGTTTGCATGAACAGCCTGCAGCACATGGAATAAAAATGCAACCCTCACGTGCTTGATACACACATCACCCTGGCACGCACACACACACACACACACACACACACACACACACATACACACACACACACACACACACACACACACACACACACACACACACTCAAAAGAAATGGACGTGTTCAGCCCAAACAACACCAATCTTCTTAAAGGTTTAGAGAGTAAACACAGTTGCTTATTTCATAATGGCAGCTCTAACCAAGCTGGAATAAGCAGTTTATGTTTTCACAACACACACACACACACACACACACACACAAGATCAGCTGGCTGTTGTGCATGCACGAATTACACCAAACCAGAGCTTTCCTGTGACAGACATTCAAAATCCCGAAGGTGTGATTAACATCAAAGCTCCAAAACACAGTGTGTGTGTGTGTGTGTGTGTGTGTGTGTGTGTGTGTGTGTGTGTGTGTGTGTGTCTGTGTGTGTGTGTGTGTGTGTGTCTGTGTGTGTGTGTATGTGTTTTACTTAAGTGATAAATAAGAGCTGCCCTCCAGATTTTTGTTTACTTTTTTATTAATTTAATTTTGGGTTTCATATCAGGAGCATCAAGGGATATTTTGGTTTCATGCATATGAAATTAGTCTGAGTTTTCATTTATGTCATTTATCAGTTTTAGATAAATGTTAAGGTATTTCTGAAACTGGCAGCCTATATAGAAAGACTGATATATGTTAATTGATTCATTCAATCTGTAAAAATGGACAGCAGGTTTGCATACCTTGCATAACATAAAATGGTTAGTCATCTCTTGCTAAAGCCAGTCAGCTAATGCTTTTTCTTGAGGCTGTTTGTCTGCCTGCTAAAAAAATCACAAAAAAATTTTCCCGGATTCTTATTTGAGAAGGGGTCGCGACAAAGACATTTGTTGGCAACTCTGGCTGCTGTGCCTGTTCTTATGTATACTTGGTAAAAAGGGGTTGCAGGTTTGCATCCCACTCCATCTGTCGTAGTTGTTGTGTTCTTGGGCAAGACACTTCATCCGCCTTGCCTGCTGGGGGTGGTCATAGGGAACCGGCAGCACCTAATGCAGGGGTAGAAAACTTCAGTCTAGAGA